ACGTGGCAGTTAAAGGTGTGGAAGGGAACTAACAAGCTTCAAGAATCTGTCCCCTCGGGTGAGTGGGGAAAACAAATTTGTTACATGGGATCGGTGGATCCACAGTTGCTGCAGGTCCCCATGCAAGGGATTCATAAGCATGGCTGTTAGAAAACAACCCTCCCAGAAGGCACATGATCTGGGAGCTGACTGACTGTCCAGGCACTAGTTCTGAGTGTTCACATCCAGAGTTCTCTCGATCTCCACTCTTCGTGGCAGTGAAGACACAGGCGAGCCAATCCAGCAAAAAAACACCGGCTTCAATAAACCGATGTTCTACCCTCCTGCACCGCACCCCCTCCGGTGTCCCACCGGCATCCCAATCCCAGATGTTCCGCGCTCCAAATTCTGGATCCCCAGGAAGCAAGGCCATCACAGGTACCAATTGCCTTTCTACCATCAACTTTCTTAACTGCTTAGTGTCCAATCCTGCGCTGGGTTGGTTTTTGACCCTTCCTGGACTCAGTCTGCTCCATCCATGACTGTCCCAGAAAAGCTACTCCCAGAAGCAGTTGAGGGGATTAGGTCCTTTGGCACGTTATAAATAAAAATTTAGATCAGCAGTAGGTCTTTATTACCTCTTCCCAGTGACAAGTTGTTTTCTTAAGCATGAGGTACAAAAGACCCTGTTTCAAATCCTGGTGTCACAAACTGAGGAGAGCTTCCTGACAAGGATTGGCATAGTAGCTTGTCAGGCGTGGGGACTTTTGTTTGATTTTCAGCTTTGTTTGGGCATTTAGTGTTTGTTTCCCTCAAGGTGATATTTTCAGGGCTAGACCTGTGCCTGAGGAAGTGAAATGGACTATAAGTGTTTTCACAGTGCTTCACTCCTCACAGGAACCACCGAGATATAAGCTGGGCTCCAGCAGCAAAATTAGTGGTACAAAACCATTACAGAGGTGTTAGAAGACTCATGTTAAGGTTGATCCTCCCATAGTCCCTGTTTCCTCCTTCCAAACAAGATCAAAACTTAAAAAAAAAAAAGGATAAAAAAATAGAAAGCGAAGAGCACTGAAAAATAACTATTAATAAATAGAATGTAAGACATAGCATTCACACGTCCAGGCATCAGGGAAGCAGTCTCTTAAATCTGTGGGATTGATAGATATTTATTCCAGCTCAGTATAGAATAAGGGGTGGTTAATCAGCTGGTGTTTAAATGCCCCTGAAATGTCTGGCATGGACAGATGCAGAGTAGCAGAGGTGGCTGTGGTGGGAGAGGCCACAGGATGCTGAACAAGGATGCTTTTTGTTAAATGACACACATATCCTCAACTACCAGATGTTGCAGTGAGTCTTCTTACAGCTTGTGAGTCCTGAGATTCCATATTGTTATTGCACCTCTTAAACAGTTACATGATTTTATTACTAATTTGAGGTCCATCCAATTCAACCACATTAGGAGTTAAAGCTGAGAAACCTTTTTCATTATTTACTTAAACTTGAAACAACTTCTTTTAGTTTCATGTCTCTTACAAAAGTGGAAAAACTGGGAACCTTCCTAGGTCAGAGGCCAGATTCATCTGAGCAGTAACTGGGAAATGTTTTTTGTAAAGGCACTCCCCCTGCCCTGCCACTTCTCTAATCAAGAAGTATATCAGTACATTGGGTAAAAACTTTGAGCTGTTCTCTTCCTGTATGGAGGAATGAATTGCATGATGCTTGATCCTGGTAGATTGATCTTTAAGAAACTAGTATTAGTCTGAGGGTCCTACCCTGTCTATCTGGTGGCGTCATTTCTGTGGTGTCTTTCAAGGCAGTGTCTTGTACAAAGGCAATCTGAGCAGCTTCTTGAATTTCTGGTACAAATGCATTGACCATAACACCTGTCAGGAAGACAGTCTCCAGAAGGGATGGCTTCCAAGTGTTGCTGTTAGAGATGTTCCACATGGGCCTGGATAATACCAGAGATGGTGGAGTACCACTCCATTGACAGTGTTCGCACAGACCCTTAGTAGAGTGGCACTTACTTTCTCTGTACAGGTAATTTTGCTTTGCCTGCAAAAAGTTCAGGTATGAGGGGGGAGAGGGAGAGAGAGAGAGAAAACTTGCGTCAACTGCCTTCTCCTGTGTGGGAAGGACACAGTAAGTCCAAGGAGGTACATTAAACCATTTTTTTCTTATTGCCACACTGGGGGGGGGGGGGATGAGGACAAAAATACCATGCAAATTTTTTCCAAACATTTTTGGACACCTCCAACTCACTTCCACTTGTGACATAAGCCAGGATTTGAACCTGGGTCTCTGGGGGGGGGTAGTTTGGCCTAATCCGTTTTGTCATGGTGTCTTTTTCCCCACCATGTGCCACCTGGTGTTCTAGTTACTTAAGGCCTCTCATTCCTATTATTTATCTGTCAAGGGGGATGGACTAGTCTCCAGTTCCTTTTCAGCCCTGTTTTATGGGATTCTGTTTTAACTGATTGAATTACCAAGGTTTCCTGTTCTGCATTTTAGAAAGAGTCAGGAATGTAGTAGATAGGGAATTTGAGAAGCCTACTCAGGACTTGGAAGGGTCCACTGAGGATTGGCTGGACCAAAATTCATGGGCTGGGAGCTTCATGCAGTTCGCGTCTTTTCTAGCCACATCAGACATAAAGGCTATGTGTCTGAACCACACTTCAGCACAGGGAGGCTGTGAGGCTGCAGGGAGCTGGTGCCTCTTTGTGAAAGTCATGACAGCAGCTCTGACCACTCCAGTGGTCTGCAGAAATACGTAATGAAATACTGATCTGATACCAATTTTCAACATTCCCTGTCACTCCTGAATGAAACGCTCCTTCACCCCAACTCCCTCCCTATACAATTTGCATGCCGCTGAGCTCAGCAGAGCCTTGCTAAGCCATGTTCAGATGAATCCATTGCGTGACAGTGGACTCCATGAATGAGTCCACGTATGGTAAGAGCCTACACAGCATAGCCCATACACATTAGTTTGGCCACTTCACCTTTCATTTTATTTATTTCTAGTTTATCCTTTGAGTCACTACAGTAAATACATTTGCCCAGATATTGCAAACCTAGTTGAAGAGAGATGAGACCTCACACTATTTGTACTGTTGAACTTGTGCTAAGGGACACCAGCTTGAGAAGGTGGGAGGCACCTCAGCTGTGTTGTACAGTGACGTTTCAGGACACTGCAGCTACTGCTAGGGTCAGGAACCACTTCTGCACATTGGAGGAGTCCTCCCATTACAGTTACTGGGAAATTGCCCTGGGCTGTTGCTGAAGTGTGCAAAGCAAGTGAACTGGCAAGAGCACTGGCTGGCAGCACAGTGGTGCAGAGGAGCAGGGATTGCCTGCTTGGCCTTGGGGAGGGGTGGGGTAGTGAGTTCACTGTTGGAAAGCACAGAGGACCAGAGGATCTACTGTAGCTTTTCCAGACATCGTGGGCAGGCTATGAGACAACCCTTCAGTCCTGCACTTGAACCTTTCAGGGAGGGTGTTTAGGAAGGGAATGCAGATTACTGGGAAGCACAGGAAGAGCTGACGTAGTGCTTCTGTAGGTGACATTCTACATGTTGTGGTGAGGACCCGAGTTCAATCTGCAGGCCTGGTCACCTGTGCCAGAGGCTTTAAGGTCTGCTTATTGTCTTAAGGAAGAGGAAGATAAGGGTTGGGGGGTTTTTGCAGGGGAGGAAGCCATGATCCTTCTGGTTCAGTCAGGACTGGTGTTCATGGGCTCCCTAAGGGCCAATCCAGGCCATCTCAGCCAGAAGGCATTCAAGAAATGAATACCTGTTACCCCTTCAATGAATCTGGCCCATTTGCCTCCAAAATGAGGTATTTGACCTTTCTGCTGTATTGAGGGTATACTGTTATGTGGTGCAGGAGCATGTTGTCTTGCCTCCTGTCTGTGTGGTTCTGCATCTACTATTGACCAGTCACCATCCCTGCTTTGTTCTCCACCCAGCAGAAAGTGCTTTCAGCAGGAGAGTGGAAGGCAAAGCGCAAAACAACTTTGAAGAAACAAACAGCAATTCTCAGAACTCCAGCGGTAAGTGTGTTCACTCCCTCCTGCTGTTGCTTACCACGTCTCTCTCCAGAGCAGGATTCAGCTGTGATCAGTGATTGTTTATATATGTGGGGTACCTTCTTTAAGCTTGCAGGCAGCTGGCCTTCAGTAGTGCCCTGTTCTCAGTCCTCCCCAGGTTTCTGGCACTCCAGAGCCTGTAAAAAATGATGATGTGGGGATCCTGCTCCCAAGGTCCATGTACTTTAGCACAGATTTTTCAATGGGGAGCAAACATGTAGAGAAGGGGGAATATGGATGGAGGTAAAGCAGTACTCGTTCTTTGTCTGTGCATCAGTGAAGTCCTTGTGAAGCAAAGCCATTCCCAACAAGCAAGAGGAGTTTGAGCACTATGAGTAGAACAGCAGTTTGCATATTACAGTGATGCTAAATGTGGCAGTTTATTTACACATCACTGTAACCGGAGTCCACCTGTTTGTGAGTTTGCTACATGGAGTTCACAGCATATCAGATGAGTAGATGTGGGACCAGAATACATGTGCTGGAAGGAATTAAAATTTACCCCACTTCTGGAGTTTCCTTTGAGTTTTAAGTCCAAGTGGTAGTAACTAAACATAACCACTGGCCTAGATAATTTTGTTTAGGTACACCATTTATAGAATTTTCTTTACAAGATTTTTATCCTGCCAATGTGTCCCCCTGCCTTCATGTGGGACATTGCCGTTCTCTTATGCTCCCTAATTGGAGCATAGCAGACAGACCAGATGAAATGTAATTTCGGCATCTTCATGCAGAGATAAATAACACGCCAGCAGAAGAGGCTGGCCTCCCTCCATTCCCCATGCAAGAGCACCAAAACATGCAGTGTTTGCAATGCCGCAAGCTGGAAAGGACAGGTAAGGGAAGGGATCTCTCCCTGGAGCAGGTTACATAGCATCTGTTTTGGGGATTTATGTCTGCCTCTTAAGCAGATAAGGGGCTTTCTGGAACCATGTTGAAAAGGAATGAAGTGGTGTTGGAAGACCCACATGCAGTAGCAGAGTGGGTGATAGTGAATGGGATAAAAGTTGTTTGTTACTAAAATACTGTGTATTATGTTTTGGGGAACAATCCTATACTAATCCAAGCATTCACCACAATTACAGCTGCTCATTCGGGGACAGAAAAACCTAAAGAAAAGAGGTGTAAGCAGAACCCATCAGGTGAGCTTGTCTCTGTGTTTCAGGCCCTTGTACTCTTTAGTCCTATTCCACTTGGGTAGCAGCAGTCAGGAATCCTTAGGGGCTGGCCAAGTCTGTCTTCAGTCAGTCCAACCAGGCTGTTAGACATGACACAAAACAGTGTAGTTCACTGACTGCCAAGAGTTACTGGCCTGACTTGCTGCTCTGAAAGTGGCCGCTTGCCTCTCAGCAGGTCTGCTCCTCATGCCTTGTCTTCTGTGGGTAGTATGAGTGGTTTGTCTGAAGGGTTTCAAAGCCTTTAAGTGCATGTCTTTAAATGACAATATACCATTTGGGTTCCTGACTCCTCTGGGGCCCTTTGAAAGCAGCAGCCTTAGATTGTTCCTTTTTTATTCCTGTCAAGCCCTGTATAGCCTACAGAGGAATGACAGAATTATCTTCCTTCATATCAGACATTTCATCCATAAAGCCCAGAAAGCTGTGGGAGGGGAAATGAACCTCTAGCATGGGAGGGGTCCAGGAACCACTCACAAGAAGTACACACAAAAAAAGAGTGGCTGTATTGAACAGTCAAAGACTTTAGTTCTGTCTGACCTGCTATTAAATACTGACCCATTGTTGCTGTGATGCATCTCACAGATTCTCCCTGCCATCTCCTTGTACCAGTTCACATCACACCCATCCTTCTGCATCTGTTCCTGTCTGACCTGCAACATTTAAAGCACATGAGTAAAAGCTCACAGTAAAAATCAAAACAAAGACAGAAATTCTTACAAATTGAGTAGTGAGTTTCATATGATTTGCTTCTCTTATTTCATTGTAAGAAGTGTTTCTGTCTGCACCATGTGTATGGTCAGTTTATTTTAGTGGCTTAGTCTAGGGCCTGGCAGGCTGCAAGGGAGTTGCAAGGTGCTCACCTAAACTTTTGTTTGAGCCAGGAAATCTGAGGAACTTGACTGAGCTGCTCAGGACTGGTTTGAGGGGAGTTGGGGTCTGGTTGGAAGCAGTTCTTTTCTGCATTAGGCAGCTGACTCGCTCCTCAAAGCCAGACTGGTGCATGGGGATGTATAAACTTCTTCCCTTTTCCCCTTTCCCTTATCTATCCTGTATCCTCTTTTCTTCCTCAGCCTGCTTTCCCCCCTTGACTCCATCTTTGTGCTGCTTCCTGTGTGTTCCATTCAGTGCTCTTTTCCAGCTCTTGCACCAAGCCATTTCTTCTCTCTTATTTCTTCTTGTTCTTAAGAGCCAGTCTAAATGTTCTCATTGATAGCAGCCTGAGTGAGCATCACCATGTCAAACTACGAATGGAACTGGTGATTAGACAGGCCATGGAAAGCTCTGCAAGCATCTGCGTGCTTGGGTGTCCAAGCAGAGCTCTCAGTAACTTCCTTTTTAAGGACCTGACATGTCCTTACGTCCCCATTTTCCTTCTTTCCATGGCTGTGTTTCAGTAGGTGGGACAAACTCCGTGCGGCTCAGTGTTCACATGTGATGTGAACTGTTGGGAGTAATTCTGGCATTGTTGGCTTGTCCTCTCTTGTGCTCCAGCCAGCAGATTTCACACAGGCAGGGGAGCAGCTGGTGATAATGTGGTTGAGAATGACAGAAGGATGGATGTTTCCGTCCTTCCCAGCCCCATCTGCTGCTTATCACCAAACTCCTGCTGCTGTGAAGAATAGTCCCCAGGTTTAGGAGGTAAATGTAGGTCCCAGTTGAGCAGCCTGAGAGCTGTGTGGCTTGGCCTTGTTAAATGCTTGATTCCCTATACCACTTGCTCTTTGTGGATGTGAGTTTTGTGTCACAGGCTCAGTTACAGTGATATCAAACAGAGCAGCAGTATTTTTTTAGGCCAGCTGGGTACATTCTATGATTCTATGATTATGGTCTTTTCCTGTGTCAGCATCCCGACTTACAGTGCCATAGACCAATTAATGTCTGGAGTGAGTGGGAGGACAAGCAGAGCAGGAAGGTCAGCAACTAAAGCCACCTAAAAAAGACCTGGATGCAATGCTGTAGGGAGTCCTAAATGGGAATAAGACAACTAGAAGGGAAAATGTTAGATTTCAGATGTCTCTTCCTGCTGCACAGCCCCCATCCTTGTCATAGTGAATGCAGGTACCTGGTATCCTTAACTGAGTAACCTGGCATCTTACTGCCCATAAAACAACAACAGTTCCTGTTCTGCATGGCAAACACTACTTTGTGGCTGTGTCCAAGTCCATCTACTAGCAGGAAGTCCTTTTCCCAACAAGGCATGATGGAGCCCCAGAGTGGATGGAGAAGGACTGTTTAGCTGCTGTCCACCTCATGACTGGGAGAGTGTCCTTTGTATTAATGGCAAAGAGTCTCCACAGCCCCTTAAACTTGCTTTTCGATGAAACCTGGAACTTTCACAGTGCTTTAAAAATAGTATCTGCTAAAACGTGCAGATTGCTAACTTGTGCCGCTTCTGGAGTGCAGGCAGCCAACACAGAGGTCCCAAGTCTCATGAAGCTTGTGATTATTCACTGCTGAGCTAAACAAGGTCCAGAAAACAATGACATCACCTGATCCCGAAAGACAGAATTGACTCATTGTGGTGCATAAGCTGTTAATCATCTAAGATGCTGTAAAGCTGCTTTCAAGAATACACTCCTTGGTGGTGGTCATTTTGCCAAGTCTTGACATGTGCAGGGTTTTTCTGGACTAAATTCCAAAAAATATTTGAAGGCCAGCTTGTGAAATACTCTCTTGCAAAAGGTAGTGATTATCAGCATGAGCATGGGAAGGAAAAAGCCCCAGAAAGGGGCAAATAGGTGTATTGTGTTCGAAAGTGAACACTTGCTGCCTTCCTCTTCCACCGCATGCAGCTGAGTGCGTAGAGCAGTGTTTGACTGGGACTCTGTAGAGTTGCCCCTGCAGTGATGTAGTGTGTAACCACAGATGTATTAATTCCGAAGCTTTTGGATCTCTCCTTTGTCTCACTTTTTGTCTGACTTCAGAAAGCCTCAGGGGCAATGACATCTCTAACTTAGTGTTTACAGCATAATCCAGCCTTCATTGTTTTGGATGCTATGGATGACTCCTTAGTAAAATGAAGAATTTGTGGTTACACCACCTGTAGGCCAAGAGGGATGAAGGAAAGTGTGAGACTTTAAGAAGAAAAAAAAAACAAAGCAAAAAGGAAAAAAAAAAATTCTTTAGTTTAATACCTTAAAATACAGCCATCAAAAGTAAAAAACTAATTCAAATTGACAGTATATATTGATGTCTAAACTTGCTAGATGTTGTGAATGTGAAAGAGAAAACATTTAAAATTGTGTAGGGAAGGGAAATATTTTTAACTTTCAAGGTTGATTTAAGCTGTATAACTATGTCTCAATTTCATCTGCTGCATTAGGTAACTATTACTGTCATAAGTTCCAGTGGAACAAATTTTAGCATTTACAGTTTTTAAAATGTCAGTGCTTTTTCATTCATATTTACACAGGGAAGCTTTTCTTGCCAGCTGTGTTTATTTCAGACTGGGTAGAGGGGCAAGAGAAATATCTTCTTTTTTGAGTCAGTTCTTGCCAAGCTGAGGTGAGACTGAGACAAAAAAAAAGTTGATTTCCTCCTTTCAATTTAGAAGTAAAAATTTTTGGAAAAGACTGAGAAGTGCCAGTTCTCGAAATTTAAAGGACATAGGATCAAATTTTAAACATGCACGTAGTGGGATTTGCAAAAATTACACTTGTCAGTCTGTCATTTCCTGATCTTATATGCTATATTTCTTTTCAGTGAATCAGTTCTAAGTGCAAAACATGTTTCAGTAGTGCACTTTATTTTCCTGAGTATGCGACACACTTAAGATAGTTATATTTATCTAGTGAAAATGTACATAAGCAGCATCCCACAATATATTATGGATCCTAGTTCCCATCCAGTTGTAGCGTGGAACTATTTCAAGCAGAAGGGTAATTAGAAACATCTCATTCACCACTTGCCACATTAAACCAGTATTTTTAGCACGTGTTAAACAGGGTAGTCTCTTAAACAGAAATAGGTAGTATGTCTGCTTGCTTAGCAACTGAGCAGAACTAACCTTTAGTTTTATGGAAAGCAGCAAAAAGGCAGAGTGCAAATCGGCGTTAAACTCGTGATATAAATCTCTTCTGAAGCTTTGTTTGGTGGTGATGGGAGCAGACATGATGTCTGCTTGAGTTCCCCATGTAACTTCTGTTGCAGTAACAGTTCAGTTCCTGTGCTTGCCTTTACAATGCCTGGTCCCGTAGTGCACCCGAATGGAAGGCCAGACTAAGACACCTGGCAATGGCTACTGCCAAACTTCTGCAATGAAGCAAATTGCATCTTTATGTTGAGTCTGTTGTCAGCATTACTGTGTGTTCATGAGGCTTGAGTGGATGGATGATCTCGCTACAGAGTGAGGATGTTCAGGTCCTCAAACTGCCAGCTAGTCCAAAAAAGCTGGTTTGCGCTGAAAGCGCAGGTGGTCATGGTGCACATATGGGAGGAGTCAGCTAGGTGTGTTAAGAACATTGGGATCTTCCTTCTCTGTTGTTGGCCCTACATCCTCTTCCGTTCTTTCTCTGTAGTCCAGTGATCATACAGCACATCCAAACCTGCTTGGATTTCTTCTGGGAAGACATGGCTTTTAGGCAAGGATTTTTGGTGGGTGAATACAGCTTTAATGCTTAGGGCATAATAATTCTTGATTGTTGATTGCAGTCTGATGTTAGCGCAGCCAGCCCCCTATGTCTCTGCCTCCTGAGACACACCCAGCTGTCTTGCAGGTTATGTCAGCTGGACTGAAGCACAAAATACAAATCTCATACAAGTGGTTCATCTTCTGGTTGGTACAAGCCTGTTACTGCTGCCTTTCTATTGAGCTGGGAGGTCCAAGCCTGCTAATGACCAAGTTTGAGGCATGAGGCAAGGGGGGAGGTTGTCATTAGGTGAGCTTCCACATTGTCATAACTAAGCTGTGCAGAGCACCAGTAATGCTGACCAAGGTGCAACACACATGCATAGAGCTGCATTTTTCAAAGCAGCCTAAAAATGATGTGCCCAGATGAAGGATTACCATCTGAGTGCAGTTCTCACCATTAGAAGAAGAGTAACATAGGGATAGGCTTCAGTTAATAAAAGTGTCACTTTACTCTCTCGCGTAAATATGATTTGCTGCATCCACTGGGCATTTGTGTGGAATTGAGGTTTCCAGGAATGAACTGTTTGTTTCTGGTGCCACATTTATTTAAGCTGTTTCAGACTTGTCATGTTGAACAGGGAACTTGTAGACAGGAAGAAAGATATCTGTGTTAAAATAACCACTCAGCAGCAAGTCTCTGTGGGTGGAATCCTGCCAGTTGCTCAAAGGACATTGAGACAATACATATCAAAGACTCTGGGTCACTGATAGACCAGTATATGGGCAGAAAAAGGTCGACTCCTCCTTCAGTTTTGCCTGGATAATCTATGTAGTGAAAGATCAGCAAATCCCTAAAGCAAGTCAAATTATCATTAATCATTCAAACTATGACACTTCCGTGAACTATTCTCTGAGTAGTTGGCTTTAGTGGAACTGACTGTGCTGAGGCAGGGAGATTACAGTGCATGGATTACAAAATGGCCCATAATATAGAGACCAGAAAAATCCCGACAGTCTTTCTTCATTTAAAATATCATAGTAGCAATGTTTAGCAAGTGGCCTGAACTCCTGTTCCAGACTGACAATGGTTTTCATGTGTATAGGAAGTCAAGCATAACGAGGAGACTACGTTAGCACTTCTGGCTGGAAGGCAGCCAGAGAGTATGTTGAGAATTGATTGCGGTGTATTAAGCGGTGTGTGCCACTGCTGTGTGCCTCTTCCAGATAAGTTGACTTCGGAGGGGATGGTAAAATGTCAGGTTTTGGTCCTCAAAAGCTTACTTGCCTCTAGGGTGCTGAAAGAGCACTTTAAAGCCTGAAGCCATGGGATGGTCCAGTGAGCATCCGTGTGTTCACTGAATAAGTACAACACTTCCCAAAGCAGAGGCAGAGAGCACAAATAGTGAAAGAATGGTACCTAGAGGAGCCTGCCCTGTTCAGCTGCTCAGCAGGAGCAGATGGAACCTGTTTCAGTGAAGATCTTCCTCCAGATACAGACCTCATCAGCTGCAAATAGCACTCTTAGTGCAACGTTGGGTAATAGAAATGTGTTAACCGATCGGCAGCGTTCTCTATCCAGCTGGTGCCTTCCATGCATACCCTTTCCATAGCACTGTCTATTCATGTCTTTGCCAAGCATTGTCCATGCCTTCATCTTCATTCCTTACTGGCTGGCCCTAGCAGCTGAAGCCCTCTTCAACAGCTCCGGTCCTCATCATGTTGAAATATTTAGCACGAAGGCTCACTGTGCTTGACATATGCGGTTAATGAGTTAAGTTTTCCTTCCAAGCAAACCAGTCCAAGTCTGTCAGCCCTGAGAGGCTCATTCACCGATGAGTCAATTCATAACTTTGGACCTGGGACCATTCTGTAAATGCCCTGAATTGATTACTGAATATTTAACACTAATGGTTTCTTACCCTCTGCAGAGGTTTGACACTAAAGGACCTCACCTGGAAACTGTAGGAAACTGCCGGAAACTGCACAGGGTCTGAGGTGCTGAGAATCACTGCTTCTGCTCCAGTGCACCGCGGGGTGAATGCAGACAGCCCCTGCTTGACCAAGGGCTCGTTGAGCTTCCGGGGTTTCCATTCATTTCAGGCACACCTTTAAAGAGAGGCAATCTGCAGGGTGTGCTCAACAGAAAATGTGTATTCTCAGTCTGACATAGCATGCACAGCTTAGGAGCTCTCTCCTTTGACATACCATCCATTGAGGCTAAAAGACCCTGGTTTTCCTTCCCAGCTTCAGTTTGAGGAATCCACACAGTGAATCTGGGAATTTGCATCTGGGACCCCAAGAAAAGCATTTGTAAAGGGTTTCTTGCCCCCTTAGATTTTCTTCTGCTGGCCCTCCTCACTTGACTGTTTCCATTACTGTAGCATAAGGTGTATGTTAAAATCTCTGGACATTTCAAAATGGGAAGGAAAGATGCAGATTCCTAGCCATGAGAAACTTAGCAAGACACTTGAGAGAGAAAATTCACAGCTGGACATGTCATAATTTGCGGTAAATGGAGACCCCCATCCTGCCAGTTAAATCTGGAAGTGCGGAGTAAGGATAAGGATCAGTTAGCAGATAGGCAGAGCTGTGTAGCATGCAGCAAGGTCTCTGCCAATCTCAATATTTAAATCTCTTTCTTTTTTGCAGAAACCGCAAGTCCCCTGATTTCAAATCCTTTCCCGCTTTTACAAAGTAAGTGTGATGGATGTCTGTGGTGCGCAAAGGTGGGGACTTCCACCCTGCAGCCATGCTGGCCTGCCCTCTTAGCATTTTTCATGAATAAATGGGTTTTTATTATGAGTCCAGGTGTCAAAACCAAAATACCTCACTTTTGTGGCTCTGGTTTCAGATTTAAATGCAACAGAAATCCTTCAGGGTGTTTCTGTGCAGTATGTGGCTGCTAGACTATTTAGACTCACTCACAGCCTTCTGGAAGTTAAGTTTTGCGGGATATGCGTTCTGAGAGACCAAGGTTTGAAGGCTGAAAATGAATCCATGTTTAAATTATGTTTATGCACAGGAAAAGTTGTCTTCATGGCTCAGTTCATTAAATACCTTTGCAGATAATTCCCTTTGGCCTGAGAGCACAGATGAGAAGTGGGAGCCCAGGATATGGTGGTGAGCAAGCAGGAGGGGAAGGAGAGCAGGTTTGGGATGGGCAGACACAGGTGGTCTCTGTTCAAGATTCTGCCCCGTGTCCTTAATGCTTTCAACAGGTGGATCTTCTTCCTTTGCCTTACAATGTGTTTGGTTACTGCTTGGCTTGCGTCTGGATTTTAGGGGTGATACTGTCTGCGCCAACCTCATAATCTGGGACTGCTGTCTCTTAGTGTAAGACAGCCCGGAGTGCTGCACCCTGAGCATGGCCACGGTGGTGGAGGACGATTGTTCTTTCTCCACTTACAAATCTGAGAAAGAAATGAGCTTTATTCAGAACATGAGAGTTCACATTGGAAGAGAAATCAAATTAGTGCCAACAAATTTAACAACCATGATGCATTCAGGACTCCCCTTTTTAAAGCATGCTTCATAACATCTCTTTATGTAGCACCTCTTATATTGTCTGAGATGGGTGGAAGTGACAGAAGTCCTGTTTTCAAGAAACTTCCATTCATTTTGGTGTGTGATGGTGTTCTTCTAGGAGACTGCTGCTGAGTCGAATGTATTGTTTCATCGGTTTGTGTCAAAGGTATGGGAAGATGCAGTTACACTGTTATTAAAGCTAAAGACAATTGAAATATTGGGCAAAACATTGGGCAAGAAATTTCCCTTACAGGTCTTCTGCATTTGTTTTTCATTGAAATATGGGTCCTGCTGTTGAGGAGAGAGCTGCCTGGGGGTCTGCTCCCTGCAATGCCATCAGTTGTTGAGCTGGCTGCTGGGTTTCACTCAAGCACAAGCAGCTCAGGGCATTTTCTGTTGAAACTTTCTGTTAAAAGCTCTCAACTCATGTTCACTCCTGGCTTCAAATCAGGCTCTGCTATTTTCTCTGGCTTAGTTGTGGCAATGAGAGTCAACATGGGAATTGGTGTGATTTATTTAACCTAAGGACAAATGCTGGTTTTATTCTGTCTTGGCTTATACAGCCTGCTGCCTTACTCTGGAGCCTTGTTCACTGGGTATATATAAAGCACTAATAAAAGTGTCTAATAATAGCTCTGGGGAAAGATGTTTTAAATTGTGCAACCAACTGTGAGTGTTAGTTCTGTGTGGCTCAAGAGACTGAAGAGGCTTCAGCAGCTGCTGGTGCTTCAGGTTTCTGTAAAATTGTTTTCAGAGAGCACTTAGGCAACCCATGAGGGTGATGTCATAGTATGTCGTGTTCAGAGTGGGGAGGGACCTGGCTCGCAAAGCAGGTTGGTTTTCTGGGGAAGGATGCTTTTGGGGAGAAGGAGTGCTTTGTGCTCAGCAGCCAACACCCAGTGCACCACAGAATAATGTTGTCTTCTGGTTTGGGGGGGAAGCTTTTTGGTGCTTGATAGGAGAATAAAATGCCATTGCTTGGGGATGCTGCTTGAGTTTCAGACTGAGCTTGCAAGAGACTGCTGGAAGTGCCCTGGGATGGGTGTTTGAAGTTCCAACGACACTGCTTGCTTGCAGTGGATTTGTTTGTGCCCTCACTACACAACCCCTCTACATTGTGGGAAAACTTGGGAATGAGAGTCAGACTCCACTGGGATCAGCTGGCTGTAGAGTAGCCCTTTTCTGCTGGCAGAGAGGACATGTTCAGTGATTTCCTCCTCCTCCCAAATTTTCAAATATTTTGCCTCAGAAGAGCCATACAGCGTCAGGATCCTGGCTCAGCACAGTGCAATCCTCAAGTTGGTGGAGAGAGGATAGCACTGCTGTTTCAGAGATGGCCATCTCCGACGCTGGGGTCTGTTCCTCTGCATGGCAGGCAGTGGGACGGAGCAGGTAGTGGGACAGAGCAGGTAGCACAGCAACAGCTAGCATGGCTCAAGAGAAGAACCTGCTGGGTCTGTGCCACGAGCTCTGAGTGGAAGGGGACAGACAGTGAGGAAAGACGGATTGGAGGAGGAGGTAGATGATGATAGTGGGTGGACAGATAGTGGGGGACCAACGTAGGTGCTGTGCAGCCAGTCGACTGTCATATGCAAATGTTGTACCCTCTCCCTGCCTTCTCTGGTACTGTGTGAACAGGTCTGGCCCACACAACATTTTCCATTTCATGCACAGACTTTCTGCTGCCAGATTTAGGCTACAGGATTGCAGAAGGCTTCTGAACGTACAGCAACAACACAAAGCCAGAGAGACAGCAGGACTAATCATAGAATCATAGAATTGTTTAGGTTGGAAAAGACCTTTAAGATCATCCAGTCCAACCATTAACCTGCACTACCAAGTCCACACTAAACCAATCAAGGGTAGCCTAGACAACCATGTCCCGAAGTGCCACATCTACCCATTTTTCTAACACTTCCAGGGATGGGGACTCCACCACCCCTCTGGGCAGCCTGTTCCAATGCTTGACCACCCTTTCCGTAAAGAAATTTTTCCTAATTTCCAACCTAAACCTCCCCTGGCGCAGCTTAAGCCCATTTCCTCTCGTCCTATCGCTAACTACATGGGAGAAGAGACCAACACCCACCTCACTACACCCTCCTTTCAGGGAGTTGTAGAGAGCGATAAGGTCTCCCCTCAGCCTCCTCTTCTCTAGACTAAACAACCCCAGTTCCCTCAGCCGCTCCTCATAAGACCTGTGCTCCAGACCCTTCACCAGCTTCGTTGCCCTTCTCTGGACGCGCTCCAGCACCTCAATGTCTTTCTTGTATTGAGGGGCCCAAACCTGGACACAGTATTCCAGGTGGGGCCTCACCAGCGCCAAGTACAGGGGCACAACCACCTCCCTGCTCCTGCTGGCCACACTATTCCTGATACAAGCCAGGATGCTGTTGGCCTTCTTGGCCACCTGGGCACACTGCTGGCTCATGTTCAGCTGGCTGTCAACCAACACCCCCAGGACCTTTTTGGCCAGGCAGCTTTCCAGCCCCTCTTCCCCAAGCCTGTAGCGTTGCATGGGGTTGTTGTGACCCAAGTGCAGGACCCGGCACTTGGCCTTGTTAAACCTCATACAGTTGGCCTCGGCCCATCAATCCAGCCTGTCCAGGTCCAGGTCCATCCTTCAGGGCCATCCTACCCTCCAGCAGATCGACACTCCCACCCAGCTTGGTGTCATCTGCAAACTTACTGAGGGTGCACTCAATCCCCTCATCCAGATCATCAGTAAAGATATTAAACAAGGCTGGCCCCAAATGTGGCAGCCTGAACTCTCTGAGGGTCCAATTCATGATTTCTTACCCTTTGGGGAAACTCAGAGCCTGTTTTCCACCCCTTCTGTAACAAAGCCTCTTGCGTGCAGCTCAGCCACGTAGCAGAACACGGCGGATAGGAGGTGCCCAGAGCCTTGCTTTGCAAGGCTCCCTGCACAACAGCATCTATCAGGGGTAAGGCAGAGCCATTCCCCTGTTGCTGCACAGGCTTTCCAGCTTCTCCTGTTACTGCAGGAAAGTGCATTGTAGCTGTGGCTGAATATGAACCCATGGGAGAGCTTGAGATGTATCCCAAAGCCTGCAAAAAATGCAGCATACTCTGACTGCTGCCCCAGCTTCACGGGTTTGGTCTTGACTATGGGAAAAGCTTGCTTTCTGGAGGTGGGTAGAGAAACGATCGCATCCTGACATTTCATCTTCTGAGGTGTTTAGCGAATTATGAGAATGCTGGGCTACAGGTTTAGAGTTGAGCATTGCATGATTTTAATGGCTTATTTGTTAATGTGAAGTTTTTGTAGGATGCACTAGCGGCAGTCAGTAGTAGAGAGGCCACAGTCTGCTACATGCAAGCTGCAGGACCTTGTGCCTAGGTCACAGCCTGGCCAACAAAGTAAGAGCAACCAAAGATCAGGATTTCAGACTGTAAAGGGGGAGTACTCTGAATGCAGCCTTGAGTGTTCTGCCTGTCTCCTTCCGCCTTTGGTGGCTGTGTAAGGTGAGGTGTGTAAGGTGAGCCGTTTGGGCTGTTTTCACACCCTCCCTTCCCATCACCCAGCTGCTTTAAGTTGAGCAGTGGTTACTAGGAGTGAGCTGTGGAAACAAGGAGAGGAAGGGAAAGCTTCTCATGCAGCCTGGTGAATTTATCTTCCACTCCCTTGAGATACAAGTGTGAAGGAAGGTTGTGTGAGTGCGGCAGCCCTGCATGCCCACTGGGAATTGGTGGTCTTGGGATGATGTAGCCCACATCCTGGACCAGCCCAGGAGGGCTCAGGGCTCTGGGAACTGTGGTTACAGGTGTGAACTGGAGTCCCAACCCACAGCCTGAGCAAGCCAAGTACATAGCAAGAGACCAGCTGGCACCAGCATGTGTTTCGCATCTGCCCAGGGGAATGCAAATAGAGGAAGCTTGGAGAAAGCAGAGCACCCTCTTCCTCAGCCCACGCCAAGGGAACAGAACTAGGAAGTTCACAGCACCTGGCATTGCTAAGAGACCCATGGGCCCAAGTGAGAGCCAGGAGCCTGTCTGAGCACGTGGGGCAAATGGCTGTTTTTTTCGCATCAAAAGGGGGTATTGTTGCTCCTGCCATGAATCCCACCCCTCAGATGTGGAGCAGCAAGAATAATTGGTTCCTGAGAAGCAATGAAGGGTTTGAGGAGGTGAGGGAGAAGGTTTCCAGCAGCATGAGGCAGGCTGTGTGGGCAGTCCTGCTGCAGGTTGGAAGTCTCTGAGCCATTTCTGAGCTGACTGCACAGCTGCTCTTCCTGCTTTGCTTATACATAAGGTCGTCTTGGCCACCCAAAACAATTGGGGCTGTTGGAGAGCACAGGTGTTCTCAGGGGGTTGATGTGGGCAGCACAAATGGGTCCCAGATTTCCCTGTGCCACCACCACCAAAGCCAAGAGGGAAAGGAGAGGTTTGCTGATTGGAGCAGTCATGGGAGGACCTGTGGGCCGGCCCCTTGCTGAGTTCAGACCACCTGATGGAGAACAGATCCCTTCTGAATGCTGTAAAGCTCAGTCTGAGCAAGGAAGAGGAGAACTGAAATTCCCCCTGGGGGAAGGAAAAGCAGAGGTCCTGCAGTGGGGGGGGGGCTGTGCTCCCAGGAAGGAGAAAGAGACACAAGTGTGGCTCAGAGGGCTGTTCAGAGCAGTTTTGACAGCTTTTTCAGTTAACTCTACCTTTAAGTTGCAACCAGAAATCAAAGCGCGGGGGGGGGTGGGGTGGAAGATTTACTCTTCTGTGCATACCAGCCCAGATGAACAATTCTTTTCCAGCAGTGGCTTTTGCCTGGTTTCAGATACAGGTTGCCTCTTTCTTCTCTCCACCTTCCAGATCCCTCTCCCTCTTCCAGCACTGATGCATCCCACCCTCCTTCCAGCCAGCCTGACTGTTCCTAACTCTCTCCACTGTGGAGCATAAGGTGTTTAGAAGCTTAAATCTCAGAAGTATGAGGATTGAGAAAGCCCTGGGAAGTGAAGCAAGTTCATTCATTCCCACAGGGATTCTGCGCATCCTCCCAAGCATCCCTTCCCCTCCTTCCTGGGAAAGACTTTTGAATTGTTGGATGGATTTAAATTTTATCCCTAGTTTTAACTTAACTTATTTTCATTTGTGGCAAACCGTAGATGTCTATGACTCTTTGTCTCAAAAGTATTTACAAAATGTTAGCATTTTTAGAACGCAAAATTAGTTTTTGAAAGTAGTGGAGTTTTTTCCAGAGGTGGACATTTCCGTAGTAGAACAGAAGGGGAGGCTTTTGGAAATGGGATGAAAATCCACAGGATTTTTCTGAGAAGAATCACAAGTGAGACACCTTTCAGAGTCACTGAGTGCACTGAGTACACAGTGTGTTGCAGGGGCAGAGGGAGGAGCTTGGGATGAAGAACTGTGGAGACCTTGATGGTTACTGCATGATGGATGGAGATGAGGAGAACCCAGAAAAGACTGGTCAGGAGTGAAGGGGAGTCAGGCAAAAGGAGAGCTAGAAGAAAGACAACACAGCTTCATGGTGATAAAATAGCTGAGAATCTAACAGGAGGAAGGTGAAGCAGCTCAGTGAGGCAAAATAAGCTGAGGAGGAAATGTGAGGATGTAGTGAAACAGGAGAGAAAAATGAATGTGATAAATGTGCTGCTTGGAGAGTGCTGGATGTCTGTGACTGATTTGCTTCCCAGTGAGGCACCCTTGTAACTGAGCTTAGTGGAAGAGTTGTTCTGGTGGCTACTTGGAAACCTGCTTCTAGGGGAATCGTGGAGTTTGTGTACTTGTCTGGGAGCAGAGAAGAGTCCTTGGACTGCAGCAGTGAAGGATGGATTGCTCCACCACCACTTTCTCTGGCCAAGGTTACTACAGGCAGAGGTGGCAGAAGGGAATGCATGTGCCTGCTTATGTTTAAATGGCACACGGAGACCTGAAAGTGTCCCAGGGAACCGCGGTGTGGCATCTCTAAATTCAGACTTTCTGATGCACCTGACATGTGCAGCGTGTTCTGTTCTCCCGACTCTGTTGGGGAAAGAGCTCCACCAAAGCAATGGGGCAAAGAACAGGAGTGGTAGCTTTGTAAGGTGCCCTGGCTGCAGCACTGGAGCTCTTCTGACCCTGCCAGGAACCTGTCAGCAACATTCAGCAGGCTCTTTGAAGTGTGACTTCTTTCATTAGATTAATCGAATGTTAATTTTGACACTTGAAGGGAGAGTCAACCCACTTAGTTTGAGACATTTCCATCTGAGCAGTCTAGGCTTCATTAGCAGCAGAAGCAAATATGTGCACGTGTAACACAAGTCATCTGACATTGAAATATGTATCTAAGAGGGGTGGTTTGCACCCATGTAGGGTCGTCTTCTCTCTGATAGTTACAAAACAGTCTAAACAATTAGATTACATTGTACCTGTTTTGGTATTTTACCACAGCTGACTATTTCACTACTGATGAGTTCAACAGAAACAGCCAATCCATGTTAATTCTCCCAGTCCTGAAATTCCTAAGTGTGCCACTCAGCTGCCAGAGTCTTCCCTTTTTTTCACAAGCACAGTTATTTAAGTACAGTATTTCCAAACTTCCTTACTACAGCAAAACACAGGAGTAGCATCACAAGAAAATACAGTAAGTTAAATAAAGCATTGAGCACAGCTCCTCCAGGTGGACCTGGCTCCATCTTTTCAGAGGGCTGTAGGTTCTGTGGGAAAGGCACAGCAGGGTGTTTAACCTTACAGCATAGAAGTATAGCTTATACAAACCGCTTATGGTCTCTTTTATGTTTTTCCTCGCAGCTTCCTGTAGCCATCTGATGAATTCTGGGTTTTGCTACCTGAGATAGACATCTTACAGATTATAGCCAAGTCAGACTTGTGCTTTCCTGTATTTTGGTTCTTCCATCCTGGATGCTGGTGCTTATGTGCAATAGATTTCTTAAGTTTCATTGACGCAGAATATGTTTTTCCCTTCAAACGTAGGTACAGATTTCTGGTATATTGTAGCAATAGACCTTGCTCTGTGTGTGTGCCAGGCATCTATATGCAAAGTTGTTTATATACCAAATGCTTGCATTTGTCCATTCTGCTGTTACGAAACAAAATGCCACAGCATAAATGGTGGCAGTGTGCTGGCATATCTGGAGGTATAGGAGTAAACTGCAATGTTAACATATTTCAGCCACTGTAGTTTGATGTTACATCTGTCAACTAATGCACTCAACTAATACTGTTTAAACGAGCAATTGCAAACATTGCTATTAGGTTAATTCAGTGGAAAAATGCACTTTCAACATACTTCTTAGAACAGAACTAAACATATCTTTCAGCTCATGAGGGAGCTCTGCACCCAGCTCTTTCCTGACTCCAGCTCATCCATATTACTCTGGCAACATGGCTCTCCTGCTCTGCTCTCAGCCTTCTGGCACAGCTCTAATTTCTGGGCTTCTTCCCCTCCACCTCTGCTTAACCCCGGCGACTTGCTGCCCCCAAGCCTAGTGGCACTCACCATTCCCCAGTCTCGCTGCACTTGTTGACAGCCACAGAAAACCCAAGCTGAGTTCCCCCATGGCACTTCTCCATTCCCCAACTTCTGAGCAACAGGATTTTTCACAACCCAATTGGCTCCTTGTCTTACTCAGGAAAGGCAGCAGAGACTGGAATTTGACAGAACCGGATGTCAGATTAATTCACCATTCTTTGCTTTCAGGCTTAAAAAGAACAAGGATATGCTTAAAACAGCCTGCGGCAGGCATAAACTAGTAAACCCCAGTCAGTGTGTAGCCTCTCAAATCTTTGTGCAGATTCACTGAGCTCACACACATGCACAACTGCAGGTGCTTCTCTTTAGTGCACGAGCTGTCCCTCTGCCATCCTGGGCCTTCTTGTGGCAGTAAAGTGAAGCATGTGGATAAATGCCTGACACCAGCCCAGGAAGCAGTGACATGCCATAGCGCTTTCCTGAATCACAGCCTGAGCCCTGCAGGTTCAGTTCTAAGGAGCTGCTGTGATGTGCACACGTGGGCTGAGGTGACAAGGACCGGGCCCTAAGGCGCTGCCCCACTACTGTACAAACTGAAGTATGCACATGTGCTGCTTCCCTGCATACTCTGTATAATTCTTCTGAACTGATTTCTCCCAAACAGAGCCTTACACCTGTGGAGCTTGTGGAATCCAGTTCCAGTTTTATAACAATCTCCTGGAGCACATGCAGTCCCATGCAGGTAAGCTGGGCACTTCGACTCGCTTAAAGCGGAGAATTAAATTCTGCGCTGATGCCTGATGTTGACCCCGTTGTGTGTCAATAGAGTTTTCTGTGCTCACGGTTTCCAAAGCCCCAGTAATTTCACCTGCAGAAAAAAAAAAAAACCCTCAAAGGCTGAAGCACATAGCAGTGGCTGCAACAATGCAAGGCTCAGGGCATATTATAAATATTACTCCTTTCCATAGGAAGAGGGGAAATGTGCCATGCTAGCACAGAGCACATCAAACGACTCGTTCCCTTTATCCAAAGGTATTTAGGGAATGCTCGTTGTGTAAGCATTAATGGGTCACTCCTACAGCAGATTAAATCCTTCCTCCTGCAAAAAGGGTAGTTCTCATTGAAGCAAACAAAGCAAAAATGCTTGCAGGGCAGCAGAGCCTTTGCCTACACAAGTCCTTTTCCGTGCTTATGTCTCCTGGAGTTCTGCAAAGGACTGAAATGTGTTCTCAGAAGAAGAATTTGCCATTTCATCAGTTCTGTTCTTTTGCTTCTCAGCTATCTACAAAAGAAAATTCTGAGTAGTTCAACTACTTTGTTTCTAAGCCACCTTTTTTGTTTTCTATCTCAATACATAAGAGACAATTTTAAAATTTCAAAGCCAAAGCTGTTTCAAAGACAGCATTCAGAATATTCAAAAATGTAGAAATAGGATCTTTTTTTATATTGCCAGAATTCTTTTCTTCTTTTTCGTCTTGAATGAAAATTCAAGTGGATTAACACAGGTTTACAAGTTAATTCACCTTTGACAGACCTGTGTTCTCTGGCAGGCAGCTGCTATGTTGAGATGTACGTTCAGTGCTTGCTTTTGCCCTCACTTTATACACAGGTCTACACACGTCAGCCCCGAGTAGAGTGGCATGGAAGGACAGGTGGCTTGAAGAAAAGTGTATTTTCCATTCTGTAACAGTAATTCTAATCAAAGTTCTTACCTTGTTCTGTGTTTTAGTTTTAGTGCTAAGTTTAATGAATGTCCCTTGAGTTCTTCATCCATATGGTTCCTTGGTTCCAGTTCAGTTCTCACTGGTGGACCTTAGTGCAGGCTTTGTGTGGTGTTCTGCAGCTACTTTATTTATCATCCTTGTAATGTTATGAATAGTCATTTAGGGTGATATGTTATAAGATAGTATGAGTTTTGTGGATGTTATTTTCTGTTAGAGCATAGGCTGCTTAATGTGGAGTAACTGGACTTCATGTTACACTGAAGAGCAGTGGAGCTTCACTCAGGGTAGTGGCTGCCATCACTCCATGGTGTTGGGGTCTGTTCTTGCTGTTTGTCAATGGCAATTTCTACGTGCCTCCAAGATGCGTCCGGACCATCCTGTTCCTTTCTGGTCTCTGGTACTGAAATGCAGCGTTTTGAGTTACAGCTCTTGGTGACACTGAGTAGAGGAGCTGCAAAGGAGGGACCAGGGCTAAGGTGTCAGAGGGGAGAATGGCAATTTACTGGCAAGGTGTGAGCTGTTGAAAATTTTAAGCTGGGGCTGTCTGCAGCTTCTTCCTTCTCTCTTCCTTACAAATGACCCATAGCCTCTGGGCTTGTTCACATGGGTTACTCTGGACACACAACAGGGCTGGAGGGAGCAGGTATATGTGATCTGACTCATGCAATGTCAGCAGTGATCCCCTCTCTTCAACTCAGGATTACTCCTGTTAAACTGTATTTTCTCATCTTTCCTGCTCTGTTTGTAAGTCGCTGTCTTCTGTTTGGCTGCTTCCCCCAAAATGTCTCACTGGTACAGTGACAGCAAGCTTGTCCATGTCTTCTTTAAGTGCTTTCTCCTGGCATCACCAAGGCTGCCCCTTGTGAAAGCAGCCATCCCCTGCTGTGGCATCTCTGTGCGTGGTGTTTGCCAGTTCTGTGCTCATGCCTCTTCCTCTGGAGGGAACAGCAGCCTTTCCTCCAGATCTATACAGCTGGGGGAGAGTGGCGCGGTATTTGCTACTGTGGGATGAGGGCAAAACAAAATGAAGAGGTGTGAAAGCTACAGACAGCTTTGGTGGTTGTGTGTCTCTACTTAAGCAGAGCAACAGTGGAGATTACACAGGATTTGCAGTTACTCTGGTCGCAGTTTGTTGCCTTTTAGCCTGTCAGAGCTTGGGGATTTCCATATCCAACAATCGCCATCGGCATAGCATCTCTGAAGTCAAAGGGTGCAGAGGCCTTGCGGTAGTCAGCAGAACTGGTGGCATAGAATTCACATACTGGGGACACTGGCATAGTAGCTGTTTATACCAGTCCATATGTCTGGCTCAAGGAATGTTTCATTATGAGGATGCAGAAATACAAGAAGCCCATATGGATCAAATACTCCTTCAGTTAATGTGTTCAGGAGTCCGGTTTGGCTTATTGTGTCTGATGCAAAGGGCTAATGTCTTCCAACTAAATGTGATGCATCCACTGAGCCCCTCTTGCAAGTGACTGAAGACAGGGAATATACTGCTGGCTTCGAGGAGCAAAAGCTGGGACATATTGGCTCTTGAGTCATTTGGAGGGCTGAGCCTGGAGGCTGGAAGGTAATAAGGAGAGATTATAGCTCCTTAAAGCAGCTACACAATGAGACGAAGCAATTAGAATGTAAATTGGAGGCTGAAAGGCAGAAATAGAACAGCAGAACACCAGGCAAAGGAATTTGTTCTGTAATTACACTGTACAATATACAGCTTTGACTCCCTTTAGAGTACTTTGTTCAGGTTGAGTGCTACCATATAATGCCCTTCCTACAATCTAGAGCTAAAAAACCAAAAGGACGACTAGGCTGAACCTGGATTAAAGGATTGGAGGCATGAAGAGAAATTAAAGAACCATGATCTTTGTAGTTCACAGACTGCCTGATAAGGAAGATGAGGCTGAAATGCACAAATCTCATTAATGCCATATTGAATGCCAGTGGATATTTGTACATAATAAATCCCCTATTATTATGAAATAGATAAAAGAGTTGGGGGGATGAAATATAGAGGGTTTCTCCCCATGCCCCCCTCACCCCCAAGACAAGGAAGGCCTGAACCATGAACAAAGTTAGTAGGCAACATCCAGCATTTTCCTTTGCCTACCCACAGATGTTTGGAGTTGAGGACAGTGGTGACATTAGCTCAAGAGCAATTGGTCTTTGCAAATGCTGGGGAAAAGTGATGTGTCATGTCTGATCACTGGCATCTACTGGAGCACCTCCTGCTCTTCACATCTCTTCCACACCTGCAAAGACCAACCTCTGGCTGCAGTCGTGAGCATAGTAGTGTTCCCCAGGTACCAACAACGACCAGTGAATTCCCTGGGCACATACAGTCCTTGAGGAATTCCCAGAGTCTACCCTGGTTCTGTCATATCCTGGATTGCTCTTAAGTATTGATCCAGTCTGTGGCCAGTGCAGTGCCCAGACCTAATAATAACTGTGCAGTCTGTGGCTGTTCATCAGCAAGGTTTGTGAATACCCCAGCAGTTCACATGCAGAGCTGCTCAAATTTGAGAGGACTTGCTCGTAAGGAAGAGGGCACTGGAATTTCATCACATCATTGCTTGTCTCCAGATCCTTGCTGGTCTCCTTTCTCTCCCAGGTCATTGCCACACATGAAGGAGGGGAACTTTGCCCTCTCCTGCTTGTTCTGATGGGCAGCCCACTGCTCTGCCCAGCACCAGATCAGCCTGGGCTGCAGAGCAAAGTGCCTGTGTGTGCCTTAATAAGACATTCCTCTAGTTCGTGCTCTGCTGTCTGGAACGCTGGGGCAGGATTCATTTCACTGCATGCTGATGTGCCTAGGCTATAGATACTGCCACCTGAGCTGGTCAACTTGGATTCCCTTTGTAATCAGTGGAGGAGAAGTCATTGACTACAGGTGAGTTCAGAGCATGATGGATCTTATACTACAAGAGGCATCTAGTTCTGCCTGGGTGAATGAATCACACTCTTCAGCCTATTTTGCACCACTGAGTGTAAAAGGAGCCCTAAGGGGCCACTTTGAAGAGAGGCGTGTCTAATAGAGATGTCCAAAATTAGGTGAGATGAGTCCCGCTGTGATGAGTAGAGGACTTGTTTTGTCGTCTTCGGTTTTAATTCCATCCTTCTGTTCAGCCTGGTCATCAGTCTCCCCATCTTTCTCCTTCCTCTTCCACCTGTCTTCATTATGCACTTATTGTTGCTTCTCAGACAATTTCAGAGCACAGTTTCGTAGTGAAGCATCCTAAGAACTAGAAAATTTCCTCAAGAGGGTGGGGAGAAGTTCTTGGGGCACAGGAGAGGAAAGAAGATGAATATGACATAGAATTTACTGGTCTTGGCTGCATTTCCTTGAAAGATCCCGTCAGATTGGCAGCCAAAGTGTTTAGCCCAGTTACATATACAGAAATGGGAGCATGAATACAAAGACCCCTAGGGTAGTTGGTATCTTTGCAGGCATAGGGAGGAACAGTCTTTGGTCACAGTCCAGAAACTTGTGTTTTTTTCTTTTTGTTTCCAGTCTGAGGCAGCAGTGAGCAGCCCAAAAGGAGATTGGCTCTCTCTCTACAGTGGGAGAAAACCATATATGAAGATCGTAATAAGATCCTTAGATACAGGGGAGTTGAGCATAGCTTGAAAAACAAAGTACTTCACAGTAAAGAAAAGGGAAACCACCTGCAGCACAGAAAGAGGCAGTAAGGCAAAAGAAGGATAAATGTTTGTTACATCTGCTTTCATTTTGAAAGCAAGCAAATTGCACAAGTCAGGCTACAAGGAACATCTGTTCCTCCTGGTGTGCAGCTTCAGTTGATTGGGAGACATCTCTGAAGGTGTGCTGATGGCATCAATGTCACTGATGCACAGAAAAAGCCATTGTCATTTCAGCCACATTTTGGGAGGCGATAGGTTGCAAGTCCAAAGACGGTTTTCAAGGTTTCTGACAGTACTGTGCCATCTCACTGAAAACTGCTTAAAAGCTACAGAGAGTGTAGTAGACTGTTGTGACCTTAGTTAAGGGAACCATAAATAAATGTTAAGCAGATGGGTACTGTTTCCATTTCTTTGTGCTTTAAGCATTATTATCTTGTGCTTCTAACACCTCCCTATCTCTTGTCCCACAGCTGACAACGAGAACAATATTGCCTCTAGCCAGCCCAGATCACCTCTAGCTGTTGTTGAAGAAAAGTGGAAACCACAGCTCCAAAGAAATAACGCCAACAATAGTATGTAGCAGTGTTTGCTCTTCTGTCCCAGGCTTACCTGTCCACTTTGAACAAGTGACTGTCAGAGAGGGTGCAACAGTGATGGGCATTGCACAAGGCCCTTGTCGTCGCCTAACTGCACTTGATTTCATCCATAATTCATGTACTATCCTGCAGAGCAGAGCACCCATTCCCATTACAGGAGTGCTTGTATGCAAAAAGTACTGGGAAGCCTGGGGAGACAGTAGGAAAGGTTTGTAAGGAAGATGCATTTGGGAACTGCTGGAAAAATTTAATTTCTGATCCGAGGTCAGACTTCCCTGCCTGGGGTTAAAAAATTAATCCAGTCATCATGGTGTGACATAGGTGTAACCTGTCACTCTCTGTGCTGGCAGGCAGCCAGGTCTGGCTTTATCCCCAGCTCATCCTGTGAGCTTGTGCTTCATTATGGGAAAAGGTAAGATACAGCCCTGTGGGAGATCAGTTCCAAAGCACTTGAGCTGAGCAGCCTGGGGGAAGGGTGATACAAAAACATGGTGCTTCGGTGTTCTGGTATGGCCAAAAATGACATTCACATTGCCTGAAATCAGCCACAAAAAGTGGGGTGGCTGGAGTTCAAAGGAAGAAATGGAAACTTGGGCTTCAGCAATGTTTGAGATGGTGGAGGAAGCAACTCCTCTTAAAATAACTGTCTCAAAGAAATGCTCAAGTCACAAAAACGGAAAGGCGTCCAGCTTTTCAGCTGGGCTGAGCTGTGACCACCAGCCCATAGTCATGGATAGCAAATGGCGCACGTGATTATAACTTATCTAAGCAGTTCCTCAATGAACACCACAGAAACACCATTGGTTAAGGCACTGGATTGTGAGTAGATAGTGTGTGCTCTGTCTCAGTCCCCATGCCAGGGAAAGGATGCAGATAAGCTCCTTGCTGCTCTAAGGAAGAGCAAGGCCTGTCCCTGGAGGTTCCTCTGTCCAGAAACCCTTGGGGTAAGAAATCCAGGGTTGGCGATGTCTCTGCCATCATCGGGGCATGTTCCATCTCTTTGGGTCTCCCTCAGAATTGTTTTGTGACTTCCTCCCCTCTCCCATTGCAGAGGAGCAATTCTCATCTGGTGCTTTCTCTCCCTCCTTGTATTTCACTGCAGCATCCGCAAGCGGTTCAGTAGGGAACAGCGCAATCCCAGAGAAGGAGCGGCAGAACATTGCCGAGAGGCTCCTGAGGGTGATGTGCACTGACCTTGGGGCTCTGAGTGTGGTGAGTGGGAAGGAATTCATCAAGCTAGCACAGACCCTGGTGGATAGTGGAGCTCGCTATGGTGCCTTCTCTGTCACTGAAATCCTTGGCAATTTCAACACACTGGCTCTGAAGCATTTGCCTCGGATGTACAACCAAGTGAAGGTGAAAGTCACCTGCGCCCTGGGCAGCAATGCATGCCTTGGCATCGGTGTTACTTGCCACTCACAGAGCATCGGCCCTGATTCTTGCTACATCCTGACAGCTTATCAGGTAGAAGGCAACCACATCAAGAGTTACGTCCTGGGAATTAAGGGTGTAGACATTCGAGAGAATGGTGATTTTATCCACCACTGGGTACAGAATGTGCTCTCGGAGTTTGTGATGTCGGAGATCAGGACGGTGTATGTCACAGACTGCAAAGTCAATTCCTCTGCGTTCTCCAAGGCAGGCATGTGCTTGCGTTGTTCAGCCTGTGCCTTGAACTCAGTAGTGCAGAGTGTGCTGAACAAGCGAACACTACAGGCTCGCAATATGCACGAAGTGATCGAGCTCCTGAATGTCTGTGAAGATCTGGCAGGATCCACGGGCCTCTCGAAGGAGACCTTTGGCTCCCTGGAAGAGACCTCTCCCCCACCCTGCTGGAACTCGGTCACCGACTCCCTCCTGCTCGTCCATGAGCGCTATGAGCAGATCTGCGAGTTCTACAGCAGGGCCAAGAAGATGAACCTCATCCAAAACCTGAATAAACACCTTCTCAGCAACCTGGCAGCCATTTTGGCTCCGGTGAAACAGGCGGTGATTGAGTTGAGCAATGAGACCCGGCCCACCTTGCAGCTGGTACTGCCCACCTACGTCAAACTGGAGAAACTGTTCACTTCCAAAGCTAACGATGCTGGCGTAGTCAGCAAACTCTGCCACCTCTTCTTGGAGGCGCTGAAGGAGAACTTCAAAGTTCATTCGGCACACAAGGTAGCCATGATCTTAGACCCTCAGCAGAAGCTGCGGCCTGTCCCACCATACCAGCACGAAGAGATCATTGGCAAGGTCTGTGAGTTGATCAATGAGGTGAAAGAGTCCTGGGCAGAAGAAACAGAATTTGAACCTTCAACCAAGAAGCCTCGGGCAGCAGGGGAAGCCACAGCAGCTCAGGAAGAAGATTGGTTCGGAAAAAATGAAGTCTATGATTATTTGCAAGAACCTCTCTTCCAGGCCACCCCTGACCTGTTTCAGTACTGGTCGTGTGTTACCCAAAAGCATACAAAACTAGCCAAGCTAGCCTTTTGGCTCTTAGCAGTGCCTGCTGTTGGTGCCAGAAGCGAATGTGTAAATATGTGTGAGCAGGCTCTCTTAATCAAAAGGAGACGGCTACTCAGTCCAGAAGACATGAACAAACTCATGTTTTTGAAGTCCAACATGCTTTAAGACTGTCTTTTAATTAAAACAAAACTTTAAAACACTGTTCCAAACAAAGAAAAAGAATTTTAAGTTCTAAACACTGTGGACCTCATTATGAATGCCCCTGGAAACCAAGTGCTTTTTTATATATATATAAAAATATAAATATA